TGAAGGGCATAAAGTTCCCAAATAAACAACACAAACGAAAGAAAGTGAATGTAGCACAATCCAATGTATGGGATACATCTGAGAAATGTAAACGAAGCCGTCTTCTAAGTATAAAGCTGTGTGACAATGTTTCCACTCGTCAACTAGTTCCCGTGTGAACTACAGTAGTTTTAACGCCCTACGTCGGAATGATGAAAGAAGACTTTCTTAATAAATTTATGGAAGACGCTGACATTACCACAAAATACCATTGGTGGAGGATGTCGTGACCTGACTGGACCCACTGTATTTTCACAGTGTGGCTTCTGTCTTCAGCTTAGGTAATTTGATTGGATCATCAGATTTGGAGGAGTTTGTCTTTTATTTGAATGTTGTTGACAATCCTGCGGGTGTAAATAAGACAGTGTGATTGAAGATTGGAGTCTGATTGCTTTCCCTCTCGTGTTTGTCTTGTGTTTGTCGTGCAGGTCAAATTTCCGGTGGAGAGGCTGCTGCTGCTGCTGCCGCCGCTGAGTTTTTGATGAGATCAGATTTTCAGACAGTGTATGAAAGTGAAGAAATTGAAATGAGATCTAAAAAACATTTTGTGAACTGAATTTCCATCTGCAGGATCACAGTCCTCTGCCAACATCCATCACCGTCACTGCCAACAGAATGGAAGCCAAATCATTTGTGAATTTTAATGTCTGAACAATAGCAGCATTGGGAAACTATTGTAAACAGCAGTGATATCACACACTCAAACCATAAAACCCTTGACTCTCTTCCTGCGTCCATCAGCAGCCTGTCACCTCACACTGTTGGTGGACGGAGGTGTCGTTGGGTAAAATGTGCTCATGTGTTGGTGTCTTCTCATGGATTTTTCTCATGGTCTCGGTCTCAGCTTCGGGTTGTTCCCTCATTGCACTGTCAGAGGGTGATCTGCAGCCAATCACAGGCCATCTGTCTGGACAGAAAAAATGGCTGCTTCACCCAAAGGCTTTGGACTGTGTCTACTGTATCTGATTGTAATTGGTGGTTGAGATGAAGTTTGAAGGTGAAACAATGTGTTATCCTTACATGTGTGTCTCACAATTTACAGGAAATACTCTTTCTAGCAAAAAGTTTACATTTTATTAGAAATCTATAAATTGAATAAATGTGAAAATTCATTAGATTTTTTCACAGCATTTTGAAGATAATATAACAGGTAGATAATAGAGGTTTTTTCTGCCCCACAAAGATGTTTTCCTTGTGAAACAACCCACATTCTACAAGGCAAATATGACATTTGCCTAGCTAAATGCTATAGCTAGCATAGCTATAACTATCTCATTGTTAGCTAGGCAAATAAATGGCAGAATGGGTCACGATCTCTAGTCAGCTGACTTGGCCCATACACTGTAATGTCTTCTTGTCTAACCAAAGGTCAGAATAATGTGGCCCACACTGTGGATATGAGAGGTTGACCAGAAGAATCAACCAAGCCATAACCCAAATTGTTAAATACCAGTAGAGACCCACAGTTCATTGCCTTATATGACCCAACAGCAAAAAGTGAAAGTGAACTACGTGTCATTGTGACACAGCACACCACTGCACACAATGAAATGCGACCTCTGAGTTTGACCCATCACCAAGGTGAGCAGGGACAGGGCAGCTCAAGTGCCCGGGGAGCAGTGTGTGGGGAAGGTGCCATGCTCAGTGGCAATTTGGCAGCTGGTGGACTCGAACCTGAAACCTTCCAGACCCAAGTCCACCTCCTTAACCATCAAGCCTGTTTGGCCCACTAATAGGCCACACACAGGGTTGCCTTGCAATTAATTTACCACGAACTGTCCAGGTAGATCTGTTGGAGGTAGATCCTACCTTCACTGATGAATTGAATGAATGTCATGAGTGAAAACATTTGTTCTGTCTAGAGCAGATGCAGATTAAGGAAGGAGACATTTCCAGGGCTGCTCTCTCCATGTCCCATGGTGCTCTGCAGGAAAATAAATATCAGCTCCTTGTATGAGAGCGTCTCCTCATTCCGTTTGCTGAACTGTCCTCAGCCTTGGAGCTCCAGTCGCAGCCTCAGGGTCTCTGTCAGACACATCACAGGCTCTGATTCTGTAGACACAGAGCTGATGACACCGCATGCATTATTTAAAAACTCCATCCAACTCACAGTGTCACAGCATTTTAATCTGCAGCCTCTTCTCTGGAGCCTGTCACGTCTCCTCTGCTGCGCTAACAGGCTGAGGTGAACAGAGGACTCTGACACTGGGCTTCGTTTCCAGATATAACCCACATGTTCTCTTCTGTTTCCTTAAATTAGCCACGAAAACTGGGGAAAGTGGAGACGAGGTTCAGTCAGCAGAGTGATGACTATGTTGTGAGGGTCTCCCCCAAAATACACTGGCTTCTAATGACTAAAAAAACAGACAAACAGATTTTTACTTTGACAAATACATCCTCACTTCGACCTGTCTTCTTATTTGTGGTCCATGAATAACAAGGTAGTGCGGTCTGTGGTTGGAGCCTAGATGCTTCACAGGATGTATTAGACCACGTCTGAGCTTAACAAGAAGCTAAGCCAGACATTCTCTGGTCCTGTGCTGAACCCCAGCACAACAACCTCACAACATCACAGCACGCAGATGAATATTGTAGGCCTATTGTTGAAAAAAAAAAGTTTTAAGACTGAACTTAATGACATAAACTGACCACAGAGGGCAGCACCACGGTTATTGTACATCGTACACTGTATGATTTGCATGTAACAAATAAAACTGAGAGTAATATTCAAGAGTAAAAAAGTAAAAGATTTATGTTTGAATATTTTTGAAGATGACTATCAGTTTGAGAAAAAATAAAAATGTTTATGACAGGTTTCTGTGACAGCAGCACTGCAGCTTGTACGTATTAGAGGAGGAGGAGAGTCGGTGAGACCAGAGGGAGTCGGATGATTAAGAGCAGGACTGTGTGACCTGCTGCTTCAGACGATCCACCATTAATCTCCACTGCTCCAAAAAGACCCACTAACGGGTCCTCCCCTGCTCTGAAGGATTTATAATTCTAATAATAAAGAGTTCATCCATCGGTAATCTGATTACCTGTCATTGTACTGTGTTATTATTACACTGTAGTCAATGGTGTTGATGTCCACGTACGTAAATACAGGACAGAACCAGACTGAGATTTTTTTTTTTACTTTCAAGCCTGAAAACAGAAAAAGGAACAAAACAGAGATGAAGAATTCTGTCTAATTTGTTGTTTTTTTTCTCCAAGCGTTTCTTCTAGGTTTCCTCCAAGAATTTTCTTCTTTTAAACCTCATCCTTCTGGTCATTTAACTCTCTTGGAATCTATCTTCATCTCATACGTCTCCATCTTTTTCTTTATCCCCACAAACCCCCCAAAACAAAATAAACTCCATTCTTGACAGCACAAGAGTAAAGGAAAAGACCTCAGGGGTTTCTTTTTGTGATCTCAAACAACAAATCAAGAAGTGTTTAACACTCAAACATAAAAGAACATTCAAGAACAGTGATCTCCTGAGAGCCAAACAACAGGACTCTGTCATTACTGACCGCCTGGTCTCTTATTAGATCAATGTTATGGTCTCACTTAGTTCCCAAAACCAAAAATGTTGTTTTCCAAACTGATAAAACTCCATTCTTCCAAACTTTTTTATTTATATATTTTTAATGTCATTGACACTTCGTTTTCTTGATGCATAACAATGTCTACTGTGTCAGTAAAAAGGGAAAACAGGCTGCAGACAAACTGACAGCTGGAAATGAAATTCACCTGAGGGAGGGTTGATGGGAAGGCTGACAGGTTCAAAAAAAAAGGAAAAACCTTCAAAACAACAGTGACAGACAGGAGAGGAAAATCCAGGCTGAATTTAAATATGCAGCAACAAAAACAATTTCCCCAACGTAATCAGATCCAGGAAACAGCTACGAATACTGACTTTATGATGACCACATGAAGAGGATGAGGAAAGGCGTAGGGAAAAAACTTAATTAAAGTACACAAAACATAAGAAAAATGTTAATGTTGGCAAAATATAGCTAACGATTAGCCAAAGAATGAAGGTGTTTGAGTCACATTTACCTGTAAACACAGAAAAGAGGAAGACGATGGACGGGACAGAAAGTGATCTCTGCAAAAACACAGAGAGAGTAAGAGATTTTTGTCTCCAAAGTTCTGCCCAATGCCTGATTTAATTTATTTTCTTGTTAAAAATGGACAATACAAAGAAATGAGTCTTAAGACAAACTTGGATATAGATGCTATTTTTCTGTGTGTGATTTGTTAGAGTAACCGATAAAAAGAAGGTAAAGAAGGAGCTAAAAATAAACAAATCACAAAGCAGAAACACAACAGGGCAATGTCGCCCTCTGGAGGAGAAAACGAATAATGAGGTCATTTAAAATCCCCAGGTACTAAGATTGGTGTAATGATACTTCAGACTGGAATAAACCTTTATCACTTTTTATCACTGCAGTCACTTGAAGACCTTACACTGTGGGTAAAAACGTTACTAAAAAATAAGAATATTAATATCATAATATAATACATTCGGTCTCGTTGTTTCAGTCACTTCATCGACTGCTTTATAACTAAAGCGAAACAGAAATAAAGCAAAACAATTATTATATCTCCACCCTACACTACACCACGTCAGCACTGAGTCTGGATCTGCTGGGGATTTCTTCAGGTTTAAAGGAGGGTTTTTTTTCCTCCCCGACGTTGCTAAAATTCTTGCTCAATTTGGTACCTTACAATGCTTTTACTCTGTATTTTAATTTGAGACAAGCGTGAGTCCGGGCTATACAAATAAAATTGACTTGACTAGAAAAAAAATACTGGATCAAAAACACATTGGACTTTAAATCTAAAAACCATGTTGCGTGAGATTGATAATCTGATGATAACTGATTTTAAAAAGTGATGATTTGCGTCACATTTTTGACTTCTCAATCGACTTCTCACTGCCTGTTTGTCTAAGGTTTCACTTTGATTCTTACGTAATAAACCAGCGGTCATTGAAGGCAGCACAGGTACGAAGTCCAATGCCACAGTAAAGACAATAATCTGGGTACAAACGGAAAGTAGTCGTTTGGGTGTGAGAAAAGGTGAATGTTTGTGTTCGTTTAATAATTAACTTTGACAACAAGGTTTTAAAAGTCGTCTTTATCTGTGCTTGTCCCACGCAGTTTCTTCTTGACTCCTCCTCCTGTCTCTCCAAGGTGAATTTACCTCTTCGAGTTTCAACCTTCACCTAAGAGAAAGTGAGTCTCTCGGAACACTTGAAAACTAACTGACGATTCGACAGGAACGTGAACACGTGAGTAGTAAACGAAAGACTATTTTTCACGAGTTTGTTCTGTTTGAAGTCGTGTTTTAAAGACAAAAAACGAGTACATGTGCAGGTGAATCTTTGACAGTGTGATAAAAACAGCTGACGTTGATTAGTGTTGTCTTAGAAACATTAGTGTCTTCATATTTTATTTTGTTTTTTTAATAATCTAGACCAGGGGACACCTGGTAGCCCCCATGGACTACCTGAGGTGCCAGCAGGTTGTGTTCTAAAAATCAAACTAGTCAACAAGAAGGTCAAAAATGTGATTGTTACTGTGCATTTTTAATCAGTTCCACCTGCACTGATATTCAAATGGTAAGAAGAGTGTCTGCTATTGTATGTACCAGAACTATTATTACATTGTCTGGGAAGTCGGTATTGTGTATTACTATTGTGCATCAGAGTGCCCTTGAAGTGGCTCTCAGTTTCAGAAAGGTCAGTGACCCCTGATCTAAACTCTAACCCCGGGGCCAACAAATAAGTGACCTTTTTTTCTATTATATTTTAGCCACAAAATAATTTCTAATGAAAGAAAAATAATTATTCTACAGTCAACATTTAAAATTGCTTTTATAGTCTCTTTTATAGCCTCAAAGGAAGCTAAAAGGTACAGCAGGTGAGGAGAGAATAGTAATTACCATACATTTTACTCAAAAGAACTGATATTGGTCAGAGGCTGTGGTTTTTAATAAATGACTTCTGTTACTGTAATCTCTGGTCACGTGTTGACCAAACTGCTCTGACAGGTTGTTGTGTTCCCTGTAAACAAATGTGAAACCTAACAACACTAATCTAAAACCAAAGCCACACGTACTGGAGGAAGAGCAGAGGGGATTTTCTGACATTTTAATTTCCATCACAGCCAAGTGCGATGTCAGAGACAAGGGAAAAACCAGACCCAGACCAGATTACCAGGTCTCCAACAGCCAATGACAACTCGAAGAAGCCTCTGGGTTTGGTGCAGTCGTTCCGGAAGAGCTTCCGGAAAGGCTCAGAAAAGAGTGCACCCTCTCAGACGTCTCAGACGGAGGCAGCAGGAGGTGAGTCAAATTCACCTCCACCCAGTGAGTACCGATGGACACACCGATGGAGGAGACAGAGAGAACACATGTCCACCCCTGTGGAGAGGTGTTTGTAGCCCAGTGGTGATGGATGGTTCATCTGTGACCCTCAGCAGAACACTTACTCTCAACTCTCCCATCCTGCCCTGAAACTGGATAGCGAGTTTGATCTGAGAGGAAATGCATGGTCACAAAAGTGTTTTTTTCTTTAACTTTCAGTTTTAAATGTTAATCACATTTAACAACGTAGTGCACATAACCGCTCGTTTTCACTTCGATGAAAGTTGAGAAGAGTTTGTTTTTATTCTGGAGCCAATCCCACTGAACACAAACTTTCACTAGATTTTAATCTCCACATTCCAGTGTGGGTTCAGTTTCAGGTCGGGGTAAAGGACGAGGCAGTGAAGGTCCTGTGAACAGCACACACAGGAATGTTTTCTTTCAAAACTACAAACATCACAAAACTAGTTTAAAATGTTGAAAGTTACTAAATGGAAGTGATTTTCTTTTCTTAGTTGTACTATTTTCCTCTGTCAGGCCCCAGCACTGAATCTGCAAGTTCTCCTGTAAAGGAGCAAAGGAGCAAATCAATGAAGCGTTCAAAGACAGGTGACACAATTCAAAAAACACACCTTTTTGAATGTAATCTTACTGCAGGTTAATATTTGCCGACACTCTGATCCACTGCGTTCTACTTCCTCAGATCCAAACATGACTACGTCCAGTGAATTCTTCAAAAGTTCTCGTCGGAGCCTGAGATTCAGCTCCAAAAAGGACAAGGACCACGACAAGGTAGCTAAAAAGGAGCTGCTCATTTCTGAAGCAGCAGCAGCAGCAGCGGAGAAGATAGTGAAGGAGCAGGAGAAGAAAGAAGAGGAGGAGTTGGCTGAGATCGATGAGCTGTACACGCTGCCAGAACTTCCTCACACACCTCTGTCAGGTACTGACACTACTGTGGGGTGGTCCTGATGGGACACAGAGAAAAGACTGAGGGTTATGACAATGTGGAGAACATTAGTGTTCTCTAAACATTGTTCACCAGGATAATTGATAAGTAATGTAAAAAAACTACACAGACAGATAGATAGATAGATGGATGGATAGATCTTTATTATTATTATTTATTTTATTATCTGATAATTATGTCAGACAAAAAAAAGATGTGAATTTATTTATCATTTTTAGTCTCCAACCTTGGAACATTGACTGACCTTTACTTTGTCACTGTGGTCAGAACAGAACGCCTTCCTGTGGTCTGTCTGTACAGTAAACTGACTGGTTTATCGCCCTGTGTTTTGTCAACAGGAGCTGAAGCTGAAGATATGAATCTGAATACACAGCTTTATCTCTGTCTTTTCTCACACGGCCTGGGAAACTTAATCCTGAAGGGTTTCACTGTTCTCTGATGATAACGTCCAGGTCTGCTCTGTGTTTTCTTCCAGTGATGCAGATTAGTAAACTGATAGAAATGGAGGTTCTGGAGGAGGCTCACCTCAACCTTCTTGCCATGCGCCGGGAGTTCCAGCAACAACAGCAGTGTGGACAAGACTCGCCCATAGATCTGGCCAAGAAGGAAAAAGACCTCAACCTTCTTTATATGGATCTCAGGAACAAGATCAATACCATTGTTCGCGACTCCAACTCCATGCCCTCCAGGAACAAGGGTCTCCTGGTCCCAGTGGCGCGCATCATCCAGGAGGAAGAAAAGCGCACGGATGAACCAGGAGGACTTCCAGGAAGCTGGATGGAAGCCTGGAGGGAGGCCGTGAGTGAGGGTGTGAGGGTGAAGGTGGAGAGCGTTCACCTGGAGCAGAACACCGCCGGCCTGAGTGTCCACCTGGGGCTGCTGGGTAAGGCGATCGTGGACGACCTGGAGAGCGTGAAGAGGGAGCTGCGTTGGTCCTACCCTCCCAGCTTCAGGGTCTTCAGCACCTACGTGAAGGGCTACCACAGGACTGTGGGGCAGCACATGAAGAAGCTGGAGCAGCAGGTGACAGAGCTGAAGGACATGTATGCCCTCCTGGACTGGATCATCAACAAATACAGCAGGTCAGAGATTTACAAAGTCAGCAGCTAAAGCTGCAGTATGTCATCTCCTTCACTTCAAACAGCCTGTTCATGCTGCTGCGGGGCCACAACTCAGGACACTGAAAATTAAAGAATAGTTTACTGCTCATATTGATACAAAGTTGTCAAATATTTACAGCTCTGGGATCTTTTTTTTTTTTTTATAAGCCTCATATTTGGAAAACAACTCCTTCACACTGTGTGAACTAACTTCACTTCAAACCCACTGACAGTGAAGGGTCTCCTGTGTCTCTGACAGTGAAAAGATCATGGGAAATCTGTCCCTGCAGCCAGAGATGGTTGAAGAGAGCACTGAGCTGGAGCTGGAGGAAAACGTCCTGCAGGAGCTGAAGGACAAATACTGCAGCAGAGTCCAGGTCTGCTTTCTCAGTTGTCTTACTGCTTAACAGCTTCATCAAATATCTTACATTGTTTTTTACCATTGGTTTTGCTACAGGTGGACCTGAAGTTTTCACTGGACAGAATTATTCAACTTGAAAACGAAGAAGTTTGGATGAAAAAAAAAGAACCAACAAAGTTTGGGGAAGACAAGGATTCTCCATTCCACGCTATTTACATGGTAGGCCATGGGAAATATATTCATTTAAAGTATTTCATTGAATACTTTACTGCAATCAATGGCAAAATGTACAAAAACGTTGCATTCAAGATAATTTATGTTCAAGGAAATGTTGGTCAGAAATAAATAGGGAGGGAAGGTTTAACATTTATTTCACATTAAATGGTTAAAAAATAGAATGTACTTGATGGGTTATTAAACACATTAAATATATAATGTATGTGTACATGAAAAGTACATTACAAATCACACGACAAAAATGTAATTGTTTAATACATACAGTACATCTATTTACAGGCAAAACATTGTGTAATATACGGTAATGACCATATGGTGGCGGCAGAGAACCTAACCAGTGTGTGCGTGTGTCCTGTTTTTAGACAGTAGATGGAATAGTGAAAAACACTCAAGTACTTGATAAAGACCTGGGAACGAGAGTCATACCGTCCTGTCTCCAGGAACTGGAACAGTTTCCTTCAAGGTACCGAACACGCAGACCTTCACCCCTAACCTGAACCATCACAAACGCATGTCTACTGCCTGGTCCTAATCCTTACGCCAACTCTAACCTGACTTATTTCTATAGTTAACTCCAAACTAACCATTTGGTACTGGGCTGCAGTGGGATACAATAAAAAAAGTACTTACATTTTTAATAATTGACTTCATTCTAAATCCAGTCATATCATTTACTTTATTTAAAGATAATCTGGTCATTCAGACTCTGATACCAACAGAACAGAGTCTAAAAGAGGTTTTATTTTGAAAATGTAATGATCCTTCAAAGCTCAGCACCTTGGTACTGGTCTGTAGTAACAGGTGGTACTGGCTGACCAGTCCTTCCATCAAAAATGCTGGGCACCGCTGGTATAGATGGAACTGCTCTATAACAGACTAATAAATGTTTCTGCATTATTGTTGATTATTATTTGATTGATTATAAAAACATTTAATTTCTCAGGTTAAGAAACTCAGCTGCATGGACTTTACCGAATGTTTTTTAAGCTCCCGTGGACCACACACACACAACGGCTCGGCGGGCCGCATTTGGTCCCCGGGCCTTGACATGTATGACCTAGAGCAGGGATGTCACACCTGACTTGGCTTAACTAATCAACTGCTATGAGTCTTCAGACAGCTGATTGGTCAGTCACAGCAGCCCGTTGTGCCCAGGTCTGACCTAGAGCATGTGCGCACACACACACACTTGGCTCTATGTCTAATTGTAGATCTAGAATGAATAGACTGATGCATGAACTGTTTAATCAGACAGATGTCCTGTCTGAGTCCTCCTCCGACAGTCACAACTCACAGTGTTTACATTCTCTAACTGTCAGGAAATAACATCCTCTAAGTGCTGCTGCTCCTGCTCCTCCTCGGCCCACATAAACAGAAGAGCGTAGGAACAATGATCTGACACTCTGGTGATAATTTACCAGAGCACAGGTCAAAGGTCGGTGTCAGGCAGCAGACGGAAGGATTTTCAGGATCAGTATAAATAACAGAACTACAAACCTCTGACACATGTTGTTCTTCTTAGAAATCGGCACTTGAAAAATCCACATTTGCAGCAGGTCTAGATCATAGAAAGAGATTGAATAGAGAAGATGAAGAAGAAGAAGGGGAAGAGTAAAAGAGGAAGTTAAAAATAGTAAAAGCCACAAACACTAACTGCACGTGTGTGTGGCTTTCCTCTGACACAATACTGGAATATTTCAGATTCATTTTTTGATTGAGCAATTTTCCTCCCAAAGTTCTCTTTTATTTTCTCCTGACTAAATTCTAATACTTTGCAGATTGACTGTATTTCTCTTAATGTTCCTGAAGATGAAGAGTCCTCCTCATCTTCTGCGAAGACGCAGATGAGTTTGACTAATTCTCTCTGACTCTTCTCTCCTCTCCTGCAGGTTCGAGTCAGAGTTTGTCAGCCGGTGCTCCTCCCTCAGACCTCAGCCTCTCTGGACTCACTACCACATCTCCTACATCAACTGCTTCAGTGCATTACAGTAAGTCACATGACTTACTCACCCTGCTCCCTGGGCCTAAAGTCAGATTTCATTCTCACATAAAAGTACAGTCCTCCAGACAGAGATAGACTGTAATATGAAGCGACAGTCAACATCAGTCCCGCACACACACACCCACACACACACTCGCACTCACAAGAGGAAAACAAGTTCAAACCCAACAACAAATACAACAACGTTGAGCTAAACGCAGTAAACACCTGGTGGTAAAAACTATAAAAAACAAGTAGTGGACAAGTTGTTCTTCAACATCAACATACTGTATGTCAACAACAAATTATTTTTTGAAATAGCTCAACCAAACTTTAAGGAAACATTTAAGTAAATGTTGGCCAACATATAGCATAAAAATAACTTCATGTTGGGCAAAATGGCTGGTTGGACCTGTCACAGACTTCCATACAGACAGAAGATCTCTGCTTCAGGCTCCCATCCATGTGATGGTCTGCTCCCCATGTTTGGAGGGGGAGGGGTTAACTATGGGGAACCATCACTGTCCTGACTTCTGTCCTCATCACTGACCTCAGTACTGTCTTCACCACTGTCCTCACCACTATTGTCACTCTGCTCCCCTGCTGATTTCACTATGGTCCTCAGCTTTGTCCTCACACTGTGGTTGCCAATGGATTAAAAAAAAGAAGAAAAGAAATCAACAAAGTAATGAAAGTCCTGGCATGAAATGTTGTCTGCAGTGCCTTAAAATTCCCAGGAATGTTCTGTGTTCATCTACAGTCTTTCCATTAGAATTCCCCATGTCAAAAATACCCCATTCAGACTTCCTGTTACAGACATATGGACAGTGGGAAAAGAAGACATTCCCTGTTTGGATGACTCATCCTCAAACTATTCCTCTGCTGCCAAGACTCTTGTTTCTGACGCAATGGAGTTTAGCCAGTGCTGCAGCACGTCACGTGACTTCAGGGAACTGAGGCTCAGAGTGTGAAACACTCAAGTGCGCACACACACACACACACACAGACGCAGTTGTCTGTCGAAGCAAAACCACTACAGACAGTCACAGCCCGCAGTGTCAGTCAGCTGGCGGTGTTTGTCATGAGCCGCAGAGAGCTGAGTGTTTGTCACAGGAAGTTCAGGTTGAAAATAAAAAGACATTCGAAAAGTACAGTGGAGCCAGAGTAAAAAAAAACTGCAGAAAATGAGTGGGCTACTCTGCAAACATGTCTGAGCCAGACTAGAGAAAAATCCACACTCAACTGGACTGAAGCAAGTACAGACACTGGTCCATGACCATGACACACACAGACTTTCATCAAGTCATTCAAGAAAGTTACATTATCACGCTAAGAAAATTCCAACATTTCAAAATGGACTAATAGTCTGTGTGAGACAGATCGTAACTGATCTAAATCTGTGGGAGTTTTAGACAACAAAGAATAGAGAAGCCATAATCTTGAGATTATAAACTGGGTTTACTGAGCAGGGGAACAAAACGTTCGTGAGATAGTTTGTGTTTCCAAAAGCTGCCTAAATAATTAATAAAAAAAAAGACGTTAAAGTAATAAAATAAAAACATTTTATCAATTAGCCAAAATGATAAATAGCCTGATGAATCTTTCAAATCCTACATCTTAAAATGACCCAATATGTCGTCACTATGTCACTGATTTAAAGTTTCCAGGAATTTCAGGCTCAACTCAGCGGTCCACGTTTGGTATCCAGAATTAATCAAACATTTGGTTTGAAGACCAGAGATGTGACCCACATTCTGCATAAGTGCACACTAGATGTGGGCCACGGCAGACCCATGATGACTTGCTATGGACTGTCCTATGTGGACAACTGTAGTTTGTTCAAATTTTTAATTGTGTGTGTGTGTGTGTGTGTGTCTGCTGCAGGGAGCACATGGAGGTCTACAACAGCCCGAGTCCGGCCGAGTCGGAAACCTTCAGAAAGGAAGTGAAACGGCTGATGAGCAGACTGATGCAGAGTCTCGAGGATCAGTTCAAGGAGGACGTGAAGGTTCGGTTCTTTAAAGAACTTTAACAGTGTCACTTTAAACACAGAGGCAAAAGGAAGTTAAAAGTAATAAAAAGCCAGTGAGGCGTATAACCAAAAACCCCCTTTTAGTCCGACCCTAACCTTTTCAATTCTACAGAGCAAACTTCCTCTAAAGTTAAAGTTTAATGAGAGAAACATGATGTTACAAAAAGCCATGACTTCAGACTCCAAAAAAAAAAAAAAGGTTCCTCACAGAACTCCTCAAACATGTTTCCTAATTCCACTAGTTCTTACCAGAAACTGTGAAAACAGCTTAAAAACTTGGTTCAGTGTTCTGTGTTTTTTACTGGATAACCTTTGACCTGACCTGCCTTCACTACGTTGAGGGATGTTTAAATGTTTGACATGTTGTAAACGTGGCAGTCAGTGATCGTTTGTTGTCTTTTCGTCAGCCGTTCCTGAGACGGATGATGACCAGGAAGTGGCTCAGCAACAACGATGACTTTGATGAGCTCTACCAACGAACGACGACCTTGTATGAGAACTGTACTCTCTTGACGCCTCAACACGCACAGGTGTGTGTGAGATCACATTAAAGGAGGGGTAAGGGGGACGATGAGGGGAGAGAAAGGAGGAAAAAGATGGAGGGTGAGGACAGAGCAGTGGAGGAGTGGAGCAGCAGAAAGACAGTTCTGTGGTAGGGCAGTTATTATTTTGATGGACAAAAGTTCAATTTACAAGGACATGGAAAAAGGAAGTACTGTTTCAGATGCTTAGGCTCTTTTTTTTATTTCTTATTGTCTGCTGGGATTTTCCCCCATCCTCAAATAGAGTAAGGGTTAAAGCAGCATGGGTGGTCAGCTGTAATCGGATGTAGCTACGCTAAGTGTTGGAAGTTCCACCGAGTCAGTTTCTACATTAGATCCCACAGCTGTTAGTGAAAACTGTGACAGAGAGTGTTCCGGTCAGAAGACCAACTCTAGTGAGAGCTCAGGATTAAAGAGGGAAAGTGAAAGTGTGACTCATGAGAGACAGAAAGACATGTGACACTTATTATGTTATTCTGTTGTGTGTGATCCCTACACACAGGTCTTTGTCAGTCATTTACACTTCCACGTGTTGAGGGAGTATGTGGGTCAGCTGATGAAGAACAAATACTCCTGCAAGAACCGCAAACATGAGAAGGCTGCAGCAAAGATCCGAGAGCAGTGGGAGAAGCTGGTGGATGTTTTCACTGACATGGTAAATGTCATGGGGCAGTGGTGGCCTAGTGGTTGAGGAAGTGGACTTGGGTCCTGAAGGCACTTTCCTTCCTTCCACACTCTCACACAATAAGGCAACATGGAAGTTCCCCTTCAGAAAACTAACTGCTTAATTGTGCAATCTGTGTTTGATGATGTCATCACTAAACAATACAACAGTGATAGGTAACCATAGTCACAATAAAGTCCACAGAGGAAATCACAGATTTGAGCTCACAAAGACACGGGCTGCTGGTACATCGCTGCCTCATGTGGCTAGTTTATGTCACTGAGGTAAATCTGAATTCAGGATTCTAAACAGTGAAGTCAGAAAACAACACATCTGAACGGCGGAGGCAGCAGCGGATCAACTGGCTCTGTGCATTTATAAAAATGATAGGTTTTCTGTAAAACATGCAACTAAAGTGTCTGCAGTGAAAAGATAATATAAAATGTCCTGCTGACGAGTCACTCAAGTTTACTGCTGGAAACATGTTATCAACATGTGATGTTTTCTGTATTTGTCCCTGGCAGACATTGACTCATGAGTGGATGTTCACAGCTGGAGACGATCTGAGTGACATCATCGGACAGAAGAACAAGGCTGACATTAAGGAGCACCTTGAACCTGTGGTGATGCATTACCCTGACTTTAGGTAAAAATGGAAACTGAAGGAGAAATGGTCTGATCACACCCTTGCTGTGTGTTTATCAGTGGGAGGAGAGACATTTGTGAAACTCATCAGTGTTGAAATAAAACTTGTTCAAATGGAGAAGAAAGAAATATCCCCAAACATGACATTTTTAAACAACATCCTCATTTTTTAGAGAAGATGAAGCAAAGGCCTATTACAAGATTTGAACCTTTTTTTAGCTCAACTTCTTATATCATTATAGGAAATGACCATCACAACCCCACATTAACACCATTAATCTATTTACATGGAGGTTTTATTTTAAACAAGCCAGAAGAAAAGGTCAACTTGGTCCCAGGACTCTGACTGTTGGCAGTGTTCCTGTCTGAGACAGAAACAACAATGGTGGCCATGTACGGGTCAAAGATAATAATAATAATAATGACAAACAAAAATCATAAAAATAAGATAGAAATGGTTATATATTATCATTATTATCAAATTAAATAATATTCCACAGTTTTGCAAGTTTTAAACAGAATCCACAGTCCGAGTGTGACAACAATCCAGACCATGTCTGAGATGTTTCACCATTCAGGTCCAGCAACCACATGTTCAGAGACCAATGAGAGAAGAGAGAATACGCCATCAGTGAATTCATCACTTACCTCTGAGCTGTCCTGTCGTCTTTGTTGGTCCAAATAACACGTTGTCCAGGGTTTGGGTTGACTGAGGGGTGAAGGTAAAGATCTGTTCTTTTCCTTGTACTCCAGAAATGTGAAAAAAAAAATCTTAATTTACTGAAGAATCGACACCAAAGGTGTAGGGTAGAATCCACACTGTGCAGCCGGTATGGTTTCTGCACAGACGTTTGCTAAAGCCTGGAACCCTGGAGAGGTCTACAGACTCCTGGTGTTCATTTAGAAGTTCTCACTTCTGATAGTCACAGAAGAGCCAACACGGCCAATCACAGAAACTCCAAACACCTGTGAAGGTGAGCAGAGGCTGAACAGCTGTTCCTGTGACTCCTGATTGGAACAGTTCACTCAGTTCATACGGAGGCTGTGATTGGCTGGTGGCCTCTCCAGTAGAGCTGACGTCAGTTACACGGCTAAATCTATATTAATCACATGAAGAACAATACTTCAGCTGTAACAGGGGAGCGTGTTCCCACTTCAAACGTGATAAGAAGCAGGTTCCTCCACCCCTGCCTCGGTGAAGACGTCTCAGTTCTTCATCATGGAACGTTAGAGTCTTTATCAAAGGACACATTTCTTCAGATAACAACTGAAGAAATCTTTAAAGGTTTAGTCTGGTCTGAGAACCAGGATCTTCAAACCTTCTGCATGTAAGGCAGGTGTGATAACCGCCACACAAATAGGGAGATTTCACAAAGATAAAAACATTTGGCCAAGATTAGAACCAGTTAAAGTTTATATTAAAATTAAATACATTTATGATGAGTCTTTCCTGTTGTCAGAAAATATTTTTAAGCAGCTATAAAAACATCATACAGCAATGATTATAAAACCTATGGTTCAGGGTTCAGTATCCACTCATTTCAGCCTGGGGCACTTCTTCTTCAGGTGGCCTGTGTACTGTGTGTATTCTTTGGGATTGTTGTTGCTGTGATTTACGTTTGAATTTCTATTTTTATATCACCTGCAGCAGGAAACACCTGGTGGCGCTCCTGAATTTCCGAGGACTCGTGCGAGGTCGGGAACATCAGCTGATCCTGCAGAGGTTTAAGGAGCTAAAGCAGAAAGTGGACTCAAGGAACGGCAGGGTCGACAGGAGCCGAATGTTGTTCGGCGACATGCAGGTCAACGTCAACACGGGCTTTCTGTCCAGCGCGCCTATGTTCTGCTTCCACTTCCTGCTGCCTGACAGCTGAGAATCCAGGACTGCTGTCCCACAACCTCCACACTGACTCCACACTGACACCAAAACACTGTGTGTGTGTTTGTGTGGTCCAGGTTGAACTGCCCGTGTGGGGAGAGGTTTGAGGTCTTAACTAGGACAGAGGGTTAGGGTTAGAAGTAGAACTGGCCCAAGGTTGGGGTTAGGGTTAGAAACAAGTATTAGTTATGGTTATGGTAAAGGGTACTCACAACTAATGAAAGCTGACACACACACACAAACACACACTACATCTTTGTTACATCAGGACTGGACTGGTCTTTAAACCAGGCCCGGGAGCATTTAAAGAGGAGTCACAAACAAAGTCTGCAACAGAACGGAAACTGGATCAGAGCCAAACTCAGAAGATAAACAAAGAGGAACCAGAGAACCCAGCAGGTCCTCAAACAGTGTGGACTTTCAATCACATAATGCTTCCCGAGACAGTCACGGGTCTATAGTACTGCAAAAACACGTGTACTGTCTGATGACCTGGTCATTAAATCCTCATTTTAAATATAAGAGTGGATGTTAAACATAGGTCCAGGTTCACCAGCTTCCAGTTGTTTTTGTGATTATACAGCTCATCCACAGCTGGACAACACTGGCTCTTCAGTTTCCAATTAATTTAGCAAAAAAAAAAAAAAAAAAATCCAACACAGAGGCTTTATTAATTTAAAATGTGTTGACATTTTTCTATGTGGTGTGTGCACAAAATTACAGAGAATGTGTTCTATTTTTATGACGCTCAGGTCCTCTATAATCAGTTGCTGTCCCTGAAACAGACGGTGATTTTTTTTTCTTTTTACAGCTGCAAAACCTGAATCTGCAGCTGCTGCTCTGACTTCTTCTAACTCTGCTCCCTTTTTAAACGTACGAGTCGGTACATGTTCTCACAAGATGGAGGTTGAATGTGTGTGTACGTGGTGTAGCCTTTCCTGTTCAATTTTGGCTTCACTGTGACGGCTGCCATGGAGCTAAATGACAGCTGCAGCTGCAGAATACTTTCACTTTCTATTTCAATTCAAGTCTGTTGATGCTGCTGCAGCTGCTGCTTCTACTGCAACAGAAAGCTCACAGTGGAACAGTGTTTCATTGGCACGCAGCTCCTGATGACACTGTGGAATAAGAAGATAGAAGAACTGTTTTCTAGGATTTCCCTAAAAAAGGGAAACCATTCTGTTTCTTCCCCTTTTCAGTTCCTCTGGTTGTTGAAATATAACAAATGTCTTTATGTATGCATGTATATATTTATATCATATGATCATATGTCAGCCACATGACTCAAATAAATATTTTCATTCAATATGTAAATAATGTACATTTACACTGTTTATTGTATTGCTTTCTCTGTAGAGACCTGCTGTGATGTATGGTCTAGAGCAGTGGTTCTCCAACTTTTTTTTACCACCTGAGAAAACACTGAGCTCTATGTTTATGTTTAAATGTTGTATTAATTGTCCATGGTATGTTTTAAATTTATTTAATTGAACATGTAAATAAATGTAAAACAATAATTTTCCCCTCGTACCACTAGAGAGCGCTCGAGTACCACTGTTGGTACGCGTACCACAGTTTGAGAACCACTGGTTTAGACTTTAGAGTAGGGATGGCACTGATGGAATCACTTTCCTGAACAGAATGTGGCTTAACAAGATCGCGAGGCACGCCGCAGTTCAGGAAATCCACCCCACATTTTACAGCCAGATAACAGACTGGAAATTTTACATAATTTTACATAAACCACACAGCAACATGCGTTATTTGCAGAGCTGAAATTCGCAGAGGTGTAACGGCTTCTTCATCAATATCACTAACTTAATTAAACATAAAAAGCGGCCCATCAAAGAGGATGGAATGTGCCGTGGGACAAAAAGACGTAAAGAGCCGCTTCTCACTTCTGGGGTCGTTCTAAAAGCAAGGTAAAGTCCCGACAGATGAAGTGTGTACTGGTACTCAGCTCAGCGACCTCCACTGTAGCCGTGACCGTTTTAAGACCCCTGGTGGCTGAGGAGAGCAACGCTGACAGCAAAATAAAAACAATAAAACGCACGCTCGTAGTGGACACGTGATACAAGGACAGGCCACGCCCCTTTTTTTATTAATGCTCCAGTTATTAATGTTGATTGACTGTCGATGTAGCCAGCAATAAATCGAATAAGGGCAGATGCACACGTTGTTGTAAGATGTTTACTTTGTCAAGAAGATGTTTGGTGTCCAAGTAGAAGAGACCCAGGGTTACGATGAGATGGAGGCAGATGGTTTACTCTGGTGACCCCTGATGGCAACAGTAAGAGAATAAAAAAAGGGATTTTTATTTTGATACTATTCTCACCAACACTACTGAAAGGGTTGAGTGGAGGAGTCCTTCATTTGTTGTACTACAAAGGAAGGAAAGGAAAGTGAACTCACACAACCAAATGACCTCTGCTTTTAACCCAACACCAAAGTGACCAGTGGAGCAGTGAGTGGGGACGGTGCCATGCTCAAGAGCACCTCAGTGGTAACTTGGCAGCTGGTGGACTACTAAAAGTTTAACCAGTGGCTGTAAGGTGATTAAACATTAACATGATTTTAATTTGGTTTTAGAGAATCAACGGCTGTCACTTTATGTATTTGTTTTGCAGTCATTCAGCCATCCAACAGCTGTGATGAAGACTTCAGAGGAAACACCGTATCAAGACACCCGGATACAGAACACTGTCTTTGTGATTTTCTGTGGTTTATCTTCCAGTCTGTGATGTTTTTAAATTCAGATTTGGGTTGTGGAGCCTCGCAGACACCTGGGTGCAGAGCTGCGTTCATGAACCATGTGCTTGAGGTTTCACGGTTGTTTCTCCTGCAGATCCTGCAGAGGAGGAAGTGAGTATCTTTACATCACCGATCTGATCATTTGTGTAAAAAGCCGAGAGATTATATACGATTTTTAAACTTTAAAACAAAATGAAGCTCCTGGTTTAAAGCAATTTTTTTACATTGCTACTCTTGGCAAAACTTCTATTTTTAATCGTACAAAATACAAACCTAACTAGGATGGTGTTGCTGTCAATTCAAATGTTTCTCAACCACTGTGCCCTGGCACACCAGTGTCTCATGAGAGACTCACTAAATTGGTCTCAAAACTACTATTTATTTATTGCATTTATTGCTTCATTTGTGTCTATATAATCCAGAGGTCCATTGAAATATTAGAGTTGTTGTTGTCTGGCTGTAGATACGGGCTGGAAATGTTGCCAACGCCCAAGTTTTTGTCAGCTGCAGAGTTTTTAGATGGCTGTGATGTCTAACAGGAAATGTGGTAACAAAACAAATGGAGTGAGTTGATCATCATCTGTGTATGATGATGATGAAGATCGTTATATGGGCTAACATTTAAATATATTTCTGCTGTCTTTGACCTAAATGTTAGCCAAAAATAGCAAAATGGCAAGGCCAAGAAAGGAAGATAAATGTTTATTGGCTCAGTTTTATGATTAAACTTAAGATTAAACTATGATCAATCTCGTGTCTTTAATATTGTATGTAACTTTACTTTGCCTATTTAGCAACTGCTAACTTTGACATTTTCTTAAGAATTAGAGTTTCTCATGAACTACTTAACAATGGGTACAGGTCAGTGATTAGTAAATGGTCCAAAAGTAATTAAAACGTCTCAGTGTTTCCTCAGAAACACACCAACATTTGATAGGGTCAACATTCTTCCTGTCGCTCCATCTAATCCAATATCACAGAACAACCTCCAGTATTTCTTCAGAGCTGCTGATTTCCAAAGCGTTTCCTCTATGTGTTTCTGAACGTGTGTGTGCATGTGGATGGTCCGTGGGTGGGTGGGTGGGTGGTCCTGTGGGTGGGGCCCGCGTCCTAATTCTTTTTGGGCCGGCGG